GCCCAATTTGTGGGCGGTTCTGCTCCTCAGGCCATGGAATAAGTCGTAGACTCAATTACCTGAAGCGTGGACATGGCGAGATCTGGATGTTGTTCTAGACCAGTGCTTCTTAAAGTGTGGGTCGCGACCCCATATGGGGTCCCGCAAGTGAACAGGGGGGGGTCGCGATCCAAGTGCCCGGCCAGGACCGCCATTAGGGGGGTATGGCCGGTACTTGTGTGAGGGGTCCAAGTGGTCGAAGAGGTCTGGGCACCAAGCTAGATTGTTTTATTTCAGTTCAATGTATAATTTGCAGTGTAGTGTAGTCTTTAAGGTCGCAGCCCCCTCTGTGCACTTGGTGCCTTCCTGAGCACGAGCAGTCAATCTAGGGGAGGGAGGAGACACTGACCGACGTTGGGGTCCCTTAAAAATTTCCTCGGCCAAAAAGGGGTCACGAGTGGAGAAAGTTTAAGAAGGCATGCTCTAGACCACTTGGAGCATTGGTGCAAGCCGGGGAGGACGGGCATCAGGGGCCATTCTGGGAGTTGAATGTGAGGCCAGGCAAAAGCTCCCAGGAGTTGATGAAGGTCACCCAGGGTCTTGAATGGGGCCGATTTACCATCCAGATGAAATGGGCAACCCCAGCTGTACTTGATGCCGTGCTTCTAGAAGGGGTTGGAGGGCCCTCGGAAACATCAGGGTTTGCTTAGATAGATCTGGTAAGGGAGTCCCTGTATATCCCTCATGCATAATGGACGCCTTGGACCTGGCAGCCACCAGGATAGCTTCTTATCCATGAAGAAGTGTATACGAGTGATATCCCCGGGTCTGGAGGGGGGTCAGCGTTCCTATGAGCCCTCCAATCACCAAACCCATATCCAGAGGTTTGCCAATGAACCGAGCCGTGACGGTAGGTAAAAGAGCAGATGCATTTCCAGTCTCCGGGATGCCGCTGATGCGTAGATTATTCCGGTGGCTCCTCCCATCCATGTCCTCTAAGCTGGAATATGAGGTCTGGAAATCTGGACCGTGTGGTCGCTGAGAGCATGTTGGTGAGTATATAGGCGCGAGGAGAAGGTATCCGCGCCCCCCTCTAGCTCACTCACGCGGCCACCTATGCGGGTGATATCAGTCTTCATGGCCTGCAGTTCTTCTTCATAGGTGGTCTCCAGCCCGCGGACAGACAGGACTGTGCGGAGGTTTTAGGCCGGTGCGCTGTGACGCTGTAAAGTGAGAATGTTCCAGAAATAAATGTGATCAGAGTTTATTGTTATCAACTAACAGAATGGAAAGTAAATGATCAGAAGAGAAATCCCAATCAATATTTGGGGTGACCCCCCCTCTGCCTACTTCCAATCAATATTTGGGGTGACCCCGCTCTGCCTACTTCCTATCAATATTTGGGGTGACCCCACTCTGCCTACTTCCTATCAATATTTGGGGTGACCCCCCCTCTGCCTACTTCCAATCAATATTTGGGGTGACCCCCTTCTGCCTTCTTCCAATCAATATTTGGGGTGACCCCCCCTGCCTACTTCCAATCAATATTTGGGGTGACCCCCCCTGGCTACTTCCAATCAATATTTGGGGTGACCCCCTTCTGCCTACTTCCAATCAATATTTGGGGTGACCCCCCCCCCGCCTACTTCCAATCAATATTTGGGGTTATCAATATTTGGGGTGACCCCCCCTCTGCCTACTTCCAATCAATATTTGGGGTGACCCCCTTCTGCCTTCTTCCAATCAATATTTGGGGTGACCCCCCCTGCCTACTTCCAATCAATATTTGGGGTGACCCCCCCTGGCTACTTCCAATCAATATTTGGGGTGACCCCCTTCTGCCTACTTCCAATCAATATTTGGGGTGACCCCCTCTGCCTTCTTCCAATCAATATTTGGGGTGACCCCCCCTCTGCCTACTTCCAATCAATATTTGGGGTGACCCCTCTCTGCCTACTTCCAATCAATATTTGGGGTGACCCCTCTGTGCCTACTTCCAATCAATATTTGGGGTGACCCCTCTCTGCCTACTTCCAATCAATATTTGGGGTGACCCCCTCTGCCTTCTTCCAATCAATATTTGGGGTGACCCCCCCTCTGCCTACTTCCAATCAATATTTGGGGTGACCCCCCCTGACTACTTCCAATCAATATTTGGGGTGACCCCCCCCTGACTACTTCCAATCAATATTTGGGGTGACCCCGCTCTGCCTTCTTCCAATCAATATTTGGGGTGACCCCCCTCTGCTTCTTCCAATCAATATTTGGGGTGACCCCCCTTTACTTGCACCCAGGTGATGAAGGAACTCGGCAGGTGGGTTGGTCTGGGGACATCTCGGAGGACTGAGCACCGATCTTCTGTCTCTTCATGTAACCCCAGACAGACCCCATGATGGTGAGATCCGGGCCCTGTGGGGGCCCAACCGTCACTTCCAGGTCTCCTTGTTCTTCTATACGCAGAAGATAGTTTGGGGTGGTTGTCCTGCTGCAGAATACATTTTGGGCCAATCACACGTCTCCCTGATGGTACGGCATGATGGATCAGTATCTTGTATGTCTCAGCATTGATCCCGACCAAATCTCCAACTCCATTGGCAGAAATGCCGCCCCAGACTTGTCAGGAGCCTCCACCATGCTTCACAGTTGCTGCAGACACTCGTTGTTGTAGCGCTCTCCAGCCCTTCTGCCTCCCGCTACAGCCAAATATTTCACATTTTGACTCATCAGTGTTACTGACTGAGGCCATGGTGGGGGATCGGTCACCAGCAGAGGCCGCGCCCCTTTTTTTTTTAGTGTTTTCTGCCTAGCATTCTACTCCTGCAGGTGGCGCTATAACCCAGTGGTTCCATATCTTGGCCGTGTCCTTCACTGAACGCAGAGAATAGGATTTTTTGTGCTCTCCATAAAATGCGTCAGATGAGACTTTCTGCCATTTCTGTTGGTTTAGGGTGAAGATCTGATGAAGGTGAAAGTTGAGGGTGACGTAGAAGAGACGTATGTGAGGGATGATCAGCAACATACGGAGGAGGGTGGAATGACGAGGACACTCAAAGAGGAGGACACTCCTACAGAGATCAGCACAGGTGACCCATAATATATTCTCTTATCTCTGCTCTGTTGCTTACTACTTCCAATCAATATTTGGGGTGACCCCGCTCTGCCTTCTTCCAATCAATATTTGGGGTGACCCCCCTCTGCTTCTTCCAATCAATATTTGGGGTGACCCCCCTTTACTTGCACCCAGGTGATGAAGGAACTCGGCAGGTGGGTTGGTCTGGGGACATCTCGGAGGACTGAGCACCGATCTTCTGTCTCTTCATGTAACCCCAGACAGACCCCATGATGGTGAGATCCGGGCCCTGTGGGGGCCCAACCGTCACTTCCAGGTCTCCTTGTTCTTCTATACGCAGAAGATAGTTTGGGGTGGTTGTCCTGCTGCAGAATACATTTTGGGCCAATCACACGTCTCCCTGATGGTACGGCATGATGGATCAGTATCTTGTATGTCTCAGCATTGATCCCGACCAAATCTCCAACTCCATTGGCAGAAATGCCGCCCCAGACTTGTCAGGAGCCTCCACCATGCTTCACAGTTGCTGCAGACACTCGTTGTTGTAGCGCTCTCCAGCCCTTCTGCCTCCCGCTACAGCCAAATATTTCACATTTTGACTCATCAGTGTTACTGACTGAGGCCATGGTGGGGGATCGGTCACCAGCAGAGGCCGCGCCCCTTTTTTTTTTAGTGTTTTCTGCCTAGCATTCTACTCCTGCAGGTGGCGCTATAACCCAGTGGTTCCATATCTTGGCCGTGTCCTTCACTGAACGCAGAGAATAGGATTTTTTGTGCTCTCCATAAAATGCGTCAGATGAGACTTTCTGCCATTTCTGTTGGTTTAGGGTGAAGATCTGATGAAGGTGAAAGTTGAGGGTGACGTAGAAGAGACGTATGTGAGGGATGATCAGCAACATACGGAGGAGGGTGGAATGACGAGGACACTCAAAGAGGAGGACACTCCTACAGAGATCAGCACAGGTGACCCATAATATATTCTCTTATCTCTGCTCTGTTGCTGCACACTGATTGGTCCAGAGTAAGGCGGGATCTGAGTGATATCAGCCAATAGTAGGTTGGTAATGGTCACCTCCCTGTACTGATCCCCGTCCTGGGGCTCAGCTGGCAGTATTGGGTTGGGTGTCACTCCTAGTTCCAGGAGCACAGATATGAGGACACAGATTGGGCCTTTCTTAGGTCGGTTCCTCTTCTTCCAGCAGACTTCTAGCTAAACATAAAACTTTATTATCAGTCTTGTTGGGATGAAAAGTAACAAAGACTGAAACACTTCTCTTTCCAGGAGCACATACTTCTCCAAGCTCCCTCCAGTGCTGCTCATCACCAGAAGCCTAGGCCTGGGGTCACTTGTTCTGTGGTGAAGGATCTACAAGTCTGAACTTTGATCCTCTTGTTCCTCAGAGATCACATGGCCCAGTGCCTAGGCTTGTGGTTGGGTGAAGAGCATGCTCCTCCCAGTCCCCATTGGCTCCACCTCTTCTGACAGGGCTTTGTAAATGTAGAATTGATCTGGGAGGAGGAGCAAAGGCCGTTTGACTGAAGAGGGGAGGAGTCACAGCTGGTTGGGACCTCCACAGAGAACATCTGCTCCCTCAGACCTCCTGATCCAGATGGAATGTTGAGTGAAGTCATCTAACCCTCTCATATCTCTCCATCATGTGTTTCTATGTTTCCAGGACACGCCATGGAGGAACCCTCAAAGGATCCTCTGACTTTATCTCCAGGTTGGAAGATGGAAGATGAGGACATCACAGCAGATTGTGCGGGAGAAGAGACAGTGAGCTCAGCTATGGATGGTGGACTTCACCGTGTGGGTGGAGCATGGAATCCCTCTGACTCTGAGCAACCTCGTCCTGCGGGGGATGGTGCCGGAATTCAGGGGGAGGAGACATTTCCCTGTCCCGAGTGCGGGGAAAGTTTTACCTGTGAATTAAGTCTTTCTGAACATCAGAAATCTCACATGGGGAAGAAGCTGTATTCCTGTCCTGAGTGCGGGAAATGTTTTTCACAGAGGTCCCATCTTTCTGAGCATAAGAGATTACACACACGGGAAAATCCATATTTCTGCCCTGAGTGCGGGAAGTCTTTTTTACAGAAGTACAGTCTTTCCAGACATCAGAGATCACACACAGGGGAGAAGCCGTTTTCCTGCCCTGAGTGCGGGAAACGTTATTCACAGAAAGCCAATCTTTCAGAGCATAGGAGGCTACACACAGGGGAGAAGCCATATGTCTGCCCTGAGTGCGGGAAGGGTTTTTCACTGAAGTGCAGTCTTTTCAGACATCAGAGATTACACACAGGGAAGAGGCCATTTTCCTGCCCCGAGTGTGGGAAAAGTTATTCACGGAAATCAGAACTTGTTATACATCAAAGATCTCACACGGGGGAGAGGCCATATTCATGCTCTGAGTGCGGGAAACGTTTTGCCCAGCACACTCATCTTTCTGTACATCAGAGATCGCACACGGGGGAGAGGCCATATGTCTGCCCTGAGTGCGGAAACTGTTATAAACAGAAATCAGAACTTGTTGCACATCAAAGAAATCACACGGGGGAGAAGCCGTACTCCTGCTCTGAGTGTGGGAAGGGTTATTCAGATAAGTCCACTCTTACCAGGCACCAGAGAATGCACACGGGCGAGAAGCCATATTCCTGTCCCGAGTGTGGAAAATGTTTTTCACACCTGTCCCATCTTTACACACATCAGAGGTCTCACACAGGAGAGAAGCCGTATGCTTGCTCCGAGTGCGGCAAATGTTTTTCGCAGCAGGCCCATCTTAAGAAACATCAGAGGTCTCACACGGGCGAGAAGCCGTATGCTTGCTCTGAGTGCGGGAAATGGTTTTCGAGGAAGACTCATCTGAACAGACACCAGAGATCTCACTGCGTGTGGATGAAGGGAAGGGGAGATCAGACTACATGACGGGACTGACCATGTCACTGCAGTAGTGATCAGACTGCACAGGCAGCTTCATTGACTCTGGAGAGCCCCCTGCTGGAGGAAAGTGGAAGATATGACGTCTTCAGATGGAACATTTCCCTGATAAAGATACAAATATATGAAGAGACGTTACAATGTAACAAAGGAGGACTAAATATTTATATTGTTTTATAATTACATTCGTTGTAAAGTGATTGACTCGATCCCAGTGTGCCCAACTGGGTCAAAGGGTCTCTCCCTGGCCAGCTGCGTCATAGTGATCCCTCTCTGGCCATCCTCATCATAGTGATCCCTCTCTGGCCATCTGCGTCATAGTGATCCCTCTCTGGCCAGCTGCGTCATAGTGATCCCTCTCTGGCCATCCTCATCATAGTGATCCCTCTCTGGCCATCTGTGTCATAGTGATCCCTCTCTGGCCAGCTGCGTCATAGTGATCCCTCTCTGGCCATCTGCGTCATAGTGATCTCTCTCTGGCCATCTGCATCATAGTGATCCTTCTCTGGCCATCTGTGTCATAGTGATCCCTCTCTGGCCATCTGCGTCATAGTGATCCCTCTCTGGCCAGCTGCGTCATAGTGATCTCTCTCTGGCCATCTGCATCATAGTGATCTCTCTCTGGCCATCTGCTTCATAGTGATCCCTCTCTGGCCATCTGCGTCATAGTGATCCCTCTCTGGCCATCTGCATCATAGTGATCCCTCTCTGGCCATCTGCGTCATAGTGATCCCTCTCTGGCCAGCTGCATCATAGTGATCCCTCTCTGGCTAGCTGCGTCATAGTGATCCCTCTCTGGCCAGCTGCATCATAGTGATCCCTCTCTGGCCAGCTGCGTCATAGTGATCCCTCTCTGGCCATCCTCATCATAGTGATCCCTCTCTGGCTAGCTGCGTCATAGTGATCCCTCTCTGGCTAGCTGCGTCATAGTGATCCCACTCTGGCCATCCTCATCATAGTGATCCCTCTCTGGCCATCTGCAACCAATGATGCCATGCAGAGACACAAATGGAGGTTCACAGAGACTATAGCAGCTGGGCCGCACAGGCGTCATTGGTTGCTAGGATGCAGACGGGTACATCATGGCAGCCAAAGATGTTGTGATGGCCACCAGCACCTTAGCAACCAATGATACCATACAGACAAATACAGAGTTCTTCATGTTCCATCTGCACAGTAGTAACTCACAAGTGCTGATGAGGGTTTGTTGGGGCCGGAGTTGACAGTAGTTACAGTAGGTGGGCAGTGGAGAAGTAGCCCAGATACCAGAGATCCATGTTGTGCTTCCTCTAGTCTTAATCGGTGGGAAAGAGTGCGGAGCGAGCAGAACTCCACTCACCACCCCCACCAGTGCTAGATCCCTCAGCCTTGACCCTGACCAAAGACGAAACCAACTAGTGGTGAGAAATCTTAAATGATGCCCCAATGGTGCAAATAACGAGGTAGCTCCCCGCGCTTCAGCCTGACTGGCCTTACTTACAAAGTGCGTCTTCAGAGACAGGGTCAGACCTGGGGGCTCAGAAAGCACTCTGCAGTTAACTTACTCAGTACACTTACGTCTGGAAAGAGCCATTTTGAAGAGCCCGGTGTGTGAAGGTGACATTCCAGGCAATCCCTGAATGTCCAATCCGGGAAGGTCCAGGTATGCATCATAGTGATCCCTCTCTGGCCATCCTCATCATAGTGATCCCTCTCTGGCCATCCGCATCATAGTGATCCCTCTCTGGCCATCTGCGTCATAGTGATCCCTCTCTGGCCATCCTCATCATAGTGATCCCTCTCTGGCCATCTGCATCATAGTGATCCCTCTCTGGCCATCTGCATCATAGTGATCCCTCTCTGGCCATCTGCGTCATAGTGATCCCTCTCTGGCCAGCTGCGTCATAGTGATCCCTCTCTGGCCATCCTCATCATAGTGATCCCTCTCTGGCTAGCTGCGTCATAGTGATCCCTCTCTGGCTAGCTGCGTCATAGTGATCCCACTCTGGCCATCCTCATCATAGTGATCCCTCTCTGGCCATCTGCAACCAATGATGCCATGCAGAGACACAAATGGAGGTTCACAGAGACTATAGCAGCTGGGCCGCACAGGCGTCATTGGTTGCTAGGATGCAGACGGGTACATCATGGCAGCCAAAGATGTTGTGATGGCCACCAGCACCTTAGCAACCAATGATACCATACAGACAAATACAGAGTTCTTCATGTTCCATCTGCACAGTAGTAACTCACAAGTGCTGATGAGGGTTTGTTGGGGCCGGAGTTGACAGTAGTTACAGTAGGTGGGCAGTGGAGAAGTAGCCCAGATACCAGAGATCCATGTTGTGCTTCCTCTAGTCTTAATCGGTGGGAAAGAGTGCGGAGCGAGCAGAACTCCACTCACCACCCCCACCAGTGCTAGATCCCTCAGCCTTGACCCTGACCAAAGACGAAACCAACTAGTGGTGAGAAATCTTAAATGATGCCCCAATGGTGCAAATAACGAGGTAGCTCCCCGCGCTTCAGCCTGACTGGCCTTACTTACAAAGTGCGTCTTCAGAGACAGGGTCAGACCTGGGGGCTCAGAAAGCACTCTGCAGTTAACTTACTCAGTACACTTACGTCTGGAAAGAGCCATTTTGAAGAGCCCGGTGTGTGAAGGTGACATTCCAGGCAATCCCTGAATGTCCAATCCGGGAAGGTCCAGGTATGGCCTCCAAAGATATTGTTGAGATATCCTCCATCTGGAAAGCTGCTATGTAGAGACTAGGGATGCACCGATACCACTTTTTTAAGACCGAGTACGAGTACCGATACTTTTGATCAAGTACTCGCCGATACCAATTACCGATACTTTTTCTTAAAGGGACAGGTCACATGTTTTCTAAAGCAATACAAACTAATGCTTTAAGGTCACTTTCTTAATATTATGATTCATGAGATGACGAGGGAGCATATGACGCCGGCTTTGCACGCTACCCAGCTTCCTGATTGGCCAGGAAGTCGGCTCCGTGCTCTCTCATCACAAGTGACGAGAGAGCATGGAGCCGTTTCCTGGCCAATCAGGAAACCGGCAGCGTGTAATGACGCGCTGCCCGGCTTCCTGATACAGGAAGTACTCGTGCTAGGTATCGGAGCATTTGGGCGAATACGAGTGTGACGACATGGTGATGAGTTTATGAGTTAAATGTGTATTGGTGTTGGGTTATGTTTGAGTGCGTTATGCTGTGTGACCTGGTTAGGGAAAGACTATCAGCACCATCCCTCGTTATCTCCCATTGTTCTCTGAGGGAGCTCAGAACAATGACATTCTGGCCAGGCTCTTGCTATGGCTGTCTGGAGTTCGTTAGCAGGTGGACACCTGTGGTGTTGAGCACACCGATGGTCTGGGAGGGGAGGTGGATGTGATGGGATTATAATCTGATCTCATCACTTGCTGTATAAAAGTTTGTGCAGTCGCTCAATAAAGGAGAGTTTGTTTCACCTACACTCAAGCCTTGGCTAGTGACTGGGGAAACTGGGAGCTAAGGATCTTCAGGTTCCAATATCTCCTCAGCAAGAAAGAAGACAGCGGCGGACATACTCATCCTGAGTACGGGGGTCTGTCACAACGAGTACTCACCCAAATACTCTAGTATCGGCACCGATACCGATACTAGTATCGGTATCGGTGCATCCCTACTAGAGACCATCTCATGCAGCAGGGAATCTTGATACATAACAGGCTAGACATATTTCAGCAGACCTGAAGGGAAGGCGTCCAACCTCCTAGGACAACTCTAGGTATCAACTCTTGATCACCGAGCAGCCACTGCATTACAGCCCAATGGATTGCTATTCAGAGGAGTGTTAAAGCCTCCCACCATTGGCATCACTACAGGGTGTTGGGGGGGGGCCGCACCCGGGTGACACCACAATAACTGGCAGTCACTTTGGTGACACCCCCTCTACAAAGTCAGGCACTCAGTCATGGACCGAGAGCCCGACAGTGTCAGGAGAAAGGAGGGGACCCGGCAGCATGCCTCATCCCCTCGTCTCTCTACCGCCGTCCAGCACCAAGAAGGCCGCCAGCAGGCGTCATTCAGATGGCCGCACATGCATGATGATGTCATAGCGCACGAGCGATGATGGCTCCCGGCCTCGGGACGCCCCAGATCGCCCTCGCTAGGTTATTCCTTGCAACAAGGCCGGCCATCCATTCTGGTCTAGCAGCGTTTCCCAGCCTGTTAGTGTGTGTGCCTCCTCCTGCTGTGATCCCCTTCCCCCGATACCTGTCACATAGACACAGACATCGGGGAGGTTGTGTCTGTGCAGCCCCAATGGGGCATAGAATATGTTATAGAAGTTAATATAGATAGAAGTTTTGCATAGTGTTTTCCCTATATCATTTTCTATAGTCATTCTATATTTGTTCCTATATTGCCATCTAGTGGCCTTTTGTGGTAGTGTATTTATTTTTCAATGTTGCCTTCCTTGATATTCCTGGGGTCGATGACACAGTTCCTTTTTATGTATGCCCCTCCCTTCTTCCTGAGTGCAGTACTTCCTGTGTCATGGCCACAGCTAACAGGCCACTTGTAACTAGGACACATGTACTCTATTACGCTAGAAAAGGCATCATTTTCTGACCGCACAATACTGAAACCATTCAATCTGCTGTTCCTATCATCTGCTGTAACCCTGATGTTAAAGAATAAACACCTCTTTTGGATGAAACGGTATTGACGAGTTCAGCTATCTGACAAGGATTGTCCGCAGTGAGTATATCTGCTTATACAGGCCAGGCATAGAGGTCTCAGCAAGGGATATATCGCTATCACAACAATCGGAGTCAGAATAGTGTCTTTTGGGGGCGTGGCCTGGCTATGGCGGAGTGAAGAAGCACATT